TTCCATTACAACCGATGGTTTGTTGGTGTTTTTTTGTGTTTTTTTTTTATAACTGAAGCTGACTTGTCACCCTCATGAGACAAATGAGTAGAGATGTGAACAAAGGAGAGCGCTAACCTCTGAGGTTCTGATGCACACAACTGCCAACTGCTCACGTTCAAAGCCACCAAAGAGTTATTGGCCAAGCTAAACCGGTGTTCTGGAAACTCTTGCCCACCTCTGAGTTCCAGGGATTTGCTTAGGAAATCAGTTGTGACAAGAACACGTGCACAGCTGCCTTCAAGCCACTCAGCACAGACTGCAGGCAAATACTGAAGTACAGCTCTGCTGAAAGGTACGTTCTTTTCCACAGGCCTTGAATCTCACTGCACAAAGAATCACTTGTTTCCTTCCAGTTTGCTTACCAGAAGAAATTTCCAGCTGGTAAACATGTCTCAATTCTCTTGCACAAAGAGGCTCAGCTGTCCAAGAGTTTCATCTGTGCTAGGAGAAATGGACACACCCAAGAATTTGGGCAGACAAAGCTGGTTTATCAGGTACATGCAGGTTTGTGTGCAACCATACCTTCATTTCTGAAGGAGCACAGCCCCCTCACTCGTGGAGGCACAGTTACAGGGCTAAACAGCTTGATTGCATAACATACCCAAGAAAGTTAAACCAATTAACTCAAGGTGAAAAAATGCAGCTTCTGCCATTCATCTCACTTAAACACGGGGACATTTCCCTTCAAAGCAGAAATCTGTGTTCACATAGATTCGGGCTAACTCCTTCACTTTAAAAGCAAATTCAAACCATGTTTTAGAGTTTGTCTACATAAGGGTGAGGAGAAAATTAGGATCCACTCACAGGCCTTCTTCTTTGATGATTTCCAATAAAACTGCTGGTGTCGTCTTGGACTTTCGCTTCTCATCAACTGGGAAACAGAAGAATCACATTTTTAGGTTGTGCCAATGGTCAGGACTCACTTTCAGTTCTTTATCCTTCCCATTTTGAACACATCCACAAACAGCTTATTTTTTTCTTTTTCCTTGTACAGCACACAGCTTATTTCTGCAGAAATTTCAGAAAGCATCTCCTGACTCTCACCTGCTGGGTAAGGCTACTTGGCACTTCCAGCGAGCAGCTTCTTTTGGGCATCAGTGTGTCTGCAGTTACCAACTGCACTGCCTTTTTCTGGGTGGAAAACTGCTCAAGAGCAGCACGGTGTGAACTTCTCCACCACACATTTCTGACCACCTGGCTCATGCTTCAACAGTACTCGAATCACAGAGCTAAGGTCTTTACTAATTCTGTGACTTTTCTGATTAGGAGAGAGCATTAGAACAGAGTTTATACCCAAATGGAAACTGTATAAATACCAGAAGTTCCTGCTCACAGTTCCACCTAGACTTTTCCCTTTATACCCTTCCCAGCAATAATTCCAGGCTCATTTTTCACAACATGCCCCTGCGGTGCCAAGTGTTCTCAGCAGCCAAAAACACCAGCACCACACACATGTAATCCTGTGTCATGTCACATCTCTTTCTTTTCAGGGTAAGACACCCATTTAGAAGTCAAATCTGGCCACAGATCACACAGTCTTTCCAGCTAATTAAAAGGTTGACCAATACTCTCTCAAGGGATAATTACCTTCAGCTGGAACATGGTGTTAGCAATCAAAAGGCATTGCACAAGTGAGATTTTTCTTCATGCAAGATAGTTCCCCCTGCAACAACCCTTACAAACTCCCATGACAAGAAAACACAAATGCCACCGTACAAAGAAAACTGAGTTTGACACTTACCCTGAAGTCTAAGCCTAGCTGTATCCAAAGGAAAAAATACAGTCATTGCAGTCATACTGCCCTGAAAGTAAATAAATAGATAAATAAATTGGCCACATAGTGTATCAATTGCTTGTACAGATACTTGACAAATTCTCTGGTAGCCTTTTGCTTCTCACCCAGAAACTGGTGTAGTAAGTTTGAAGAAGGGACAAATTCCATTTGTAAGCATGGAAGTAAAACCCATTCCATCCATAATATTCTTATATAATATAAGAATATAATAATAATAAGAATATAATAAAAATAATAAGAATATAATATTATATAATATTATATAAGAATATTACGGATGGAATGGGTTTTACTTCCATGCTTACAAATGACTTTTTTAACTTACAGATTATTATATCAAGGTAAAGCTAAAACCATTCAAAGCATTTTGTCCAAAGAGAAAACTACCCAAGTATGTGAGCAGACAAAATGTGTGTTAGGTGAGAAACATACCGCTAACTTTCCCTAACTCTTTCTAGCCAAAATCTCCTATTTCTGGCAAAGAAACAGGCCCCCTCACTGCAAAAAGACATTGAGGCCCTGGAGCAACAAAGCTGGAGAGGTGTCTGGAACACAAGTCTTATGAGGAGCAGCTGAAGGAGCTGGGAATGTTCAGCGTGGAGAAGAGGAGGCTCAGCGCAGACCTTATTGCTCTCTGTAAGTACCTAAGGGAGGTTGTAGTGAGCTGGGGGTCGGCCTCTTCCCTTGTGTAACTGGTGACAGAACTGGAGGGAATGGCTTCAAGCTGCGCCAGGGAAGATGTTAGGATGTTAGGAAATACTACTTCTCTGAAAGAGTGGTCAGGCACTGGAATGGGCTGCGCAGGGAGGTGGTGGAGTCACAGACCCTGGAGGTGTCCAAGGAACATTTAGACGTTGTGTTGAGGGACATGGTTTAATGAGAACTATTGGTGATAGGTGGATGGTTGGACTGGCTGATCCTGGGAGTCTTTTCCAACTTTGATGATTCTGTGATTCTAGGAGGAAAGAATGACAAGCAATTGCTGTTCTACAAGACCATTTTTCTTAAAGAAATAAAAATGAAGAATGTAAAAACACAAATAACAAACTCTCACTCATTAAATATATATATATAGTTTTTCTTTTCAGGACTTCATCTAGCACTGTACTAAATCCCAGTTTACATAATTAAGCCCTACCTATTAAGTACATCTGCATTAATATTGCACAGTTTTTGAGAAAATATCTAACTCAAAAAGCATGTGGCTTGGTATAAACTTGTATTTAATATTTCCATAGACTGCTAACATTAAATGGCTGCTAAAGCCACCAGACTCTTCCATTAGTAGCCATACTGCTACTAACAAGCGGTGGGAAGGTTGCAGGGCATGGTCCAGCAGCTCCAGGAGCTTTCCCCTGCTCCTACCAACCCTCATTCCCAGTACCCAGCTGCTCAGCTTAACCAGCAGGGGCACTTGGTGCATGGTCAATTTACCCAAAGCAAGATTTAGCCTGAATTTCACTCTCAGGGCAATCCTCCCCACAGCAACCTTAACATTCACGCTAAAGTAAGAAACAGAACTGGAGGAACATTTGTGAAAGGTTTGAGTAGAAGCCAACAAGACAAATAGGTGGGCACAAGGTAAAGGCTTCTTAAAACCATACAAGAAGCTATAGAAGCATACAAGAGGCACAAGAGAAAGCCATGATCTAGCTCAGCTGATTAACAGATTACAGCCAATGAAAGATAACTTGTACCCTTTCCCCCTCCTATAGATAAACTGATGAGAAGAAACTGAAAGAAGCAGCGTAACTTTTTTGCTGGGCTTGTGAATGAAACAACTCAAAGGTGCAGTCTGAAGAGTGCCAGAAGTAACATATAGTGGCAACCCAAAAGAAGGGTGAGGCAGAGATGAGTGGAACCATCCCTCAGCAACAAAAGTGCTCTCAGGATCTGACTGGTGATACCAGCAGGAGAAAGTAACTGTCACTGCTGTGTGCAGGTACACGCAATGCAGCCTACAGCACCGTGCAGCTAAAAGGGGGACATTTCATTCTGCTTTCCCACCAGCTTTCAGTCAGTGCTGAAGCTCAGCACTGCCAATTCAAGTCAAGCTATCACTGAACGATCTCCAGAACAGGTACAAACTGGCTTAAGCAATTCCAGCTGCTGGTAAGCAATGCTCCCCTATCACCTCCATTCTGTGGGTGTAACTATTGGGGCAGCTACATGGCGATGCAGAAGGCGAGGAAGCTTATCTGACCAAAGCAGAACTTTTCCTACTAGGCCACTCTTTCAGCTCCCTGGTCAGCATCACCTCAGCGCTGCCAGCAGCTGGCAGGAACCAGGGGGTGGTAGTAAGCAGTCAGAAGAAGCAGCCTGAAGTGACTTCACTGCCAAGGAGAGGTCTGCGTGACCAAAGTCTACAGTCTGCTGTAGACTTTTCAGATGTAAAAAAAAAGCATGTTGACAGTCAATATTCAGAGCAGCTTAATTACTGTCATAATACTTGTATAAAGCTGTTATTCCCATGGCTTTTGGAACAAGGTTACTTTACCTTGCAGAGATTAAAAAAAACACACTTCTATAATCCAGTTAAAGTCTGCCCTTTTTTTTTTTTTTTTTTTCCTGCTCACTGTACTGTTGATTTAATTAGTCTCAGGACTTGACCTGGTAGTCCAGAGCTTAAATGGACTTTCATCTGGAACTGGAAGAAAAACAAAAGTGATGATGTTGTGATCAGACGTGTTGCTGTGATTCATCACTTCAGCACAGTTCACAGGTTGCATTTTTATAGAATCATAGGATCCTTCTAGTTGGAAGGGACTTCTAAAGGTTACCCAATCCTGCTGCAAAGAACAGGGACACCTACAGCTCAATCAGGGTGCACAGAACCCCTTCAGCCTGACCTCAGATATCTCTATGGATGGGACATTCACTGCCTCTCTGGGCATCAAGGCTTTTTCCTTATAACCAACCTAAAATAGCTCCTCTTTAAGTTTGAAACCATTTCCCCTTGTCCTATCACTACAGACCCTGCTACAGAGTCTTCTTTCCTGTATCTCCCCTTTGGATACTGAAAGGCCACTATCAGGTTATCTCATAGCCTTCTTTTCTCCAGGCTGAACAGCCCCATTCCTCATCAGCCTTATAATAATTTAAACAGAAGTTGAGACAGTGCTCAAACTATGCACCTGCATAAGAGATCTTGACAAAATTCATGTATTACTGCAGCATACAAATCTATAGGTGGATTAATACACATTTATGATAACAAAATACAAACAAAAGCCAAGGTTTTCAGCCTAACATGGTTTGGACAGAGGGGAAATAAAATAAGCCAGCTCGTTTTTGGAAAAAGGTCTCACTCTGGGGCCTTAAATCGCATATGAATATTAGCATGTGTGGAACCACAAGAGCACAGGAGTGTAATGGGTTCAAGAAGTTCTGTCTCCATCCACAAGATCACTGCAGCTCAGGCATAAGCAATAAGAAGCACAAGAGGGCATTTCCTTCAGCCTACGACCAGCCGGGTGCTGAGGTGCCATTCTACAAGGCTTTAAGTTTATACGCTGATTTATAGTTCTGGTTCGCATCAGAAGCTGTGATGAGGGGCACAGCCTATTTATCCCAGTCTGTTCACAAAGGTGTGAGGCTGGCAGGGAGGGCCAGGAAGTATTGCTGTGTTCTGTGCAAACCAAGGGAAAGCATGCAGCATTCCAGCGGCGAGCTGAGCTCGTGTAAGAGGCTTCCCATTCTCAGAATGGGAAACAAACCCCCATTGCCTCGGATTCCTGAAGCTGCACAACCAGAACACCCTAAAGACCAGAGAACGTTTCTGTGTTTATTTGTGCTACAGAAACCTTAAAAGTTATATTTTGCTTTCCGTGGCAGGCCAATATATAACCAGCTTTTATTGTTCATAACGTCTGGTGCCTTTCATCCAACCACAACTCACTTGAACGCCTCCTGCCCTCCCGAGCAGCCCACCAATGGCTCCGGCACACCTCCGGCTGCCCTCAGTAACCCAAACGCAGCGCTGCAGCAGCTCGCTCCAAACGCACCGCATCGGCTCACAAGACCCGCCGCACGGCTTCCCCGCCCCGCCCGCTCACCACGGCGCCGGACACGGCGTGCACCAGGCTCTCGTAAGAGACGACGGAGGACATGGCCGCGGCTCCGGTGGGCTTCGGCTGCGAGGCGGCGGTGGCGCGGACGTGCAGCTTATCGACCGCCGCTCCCACGCGCGCCATTGCGCCCGCCCTCCCGCGCACCTCCGCGCCGTCACGTAGCACCGCCCCCACCCGGCCCTCCCGGGAGCCGCGCGCATGCGTGGGGCCGCGCCTCAGGGAGCGGCTGAGAGAAGTAGGGTTGGTCGGTCCGGAGAACAAGAGCTCAGGGGAGACTTCATCGCTCTCTGCAACGGCCTGAAAGGAGGCTGTGGCGAGGTGGGGGTCGGCCTCCTCTCCTTGTTAACTGCGATAGGACGAAAGCCTTCAGTTTAGTCAGTGTTAAGCTGAAGCAGAGCTGATGGTTTGTCTGGGCTCCAGGAAATCCAAAAGGATCATCCCTTCCCCAAAGACGGTGCACATCCCTTTATCCAAGGAACTTGTTTCCTTCAAACTCATCTTGAACTTGTTCTTAGGGAATTCAAATGTCGTCAGTGCATGGAGCACCATTGTGACTCCAGCTCACAGCAGTGACACCGCATCTCCCCACCTGTAGTGATGCAATACAAGAAATTGTCACCTTCAGCCTTGTATTGGTAGAATACAAGCAGACTTGCATACCATGTTCTTTCTGTTCCCATGTGAGTATATGTGGAACACCCAGAACAAACTTTGCGATATTCCATCAGTGCCACCACCATTTCCAACACTTAAATTGCATATGAATATTAGCATGTGCAGAACCCACAAAGGTACAGAAGTGCAGTGGGTGCAAGAAGTTCTGTCTTCCTTCACAAGATCACCGCAGCTCAGGTGTAAGACCGTGAAACACAAGAGGGAAGCCAACATTCAACTCCATACACAGCTCCCTGGTTGTAATCTGCTGATTCACACAGATGAGCCAATTGCTATGCTCTTCATTTCTTGGTGTGCAGCCATGCATGGCTGCCCAAAACTTGGCTTGTCTTTCACATCACTGTCGCCACTGCAGAAATGTACACTTCGCTGTGCTCGCATCCACTGGTTGGTCTCCACAGCTGTTCAATGTCAGCAGGTGCCATTTTTCCTGCATGGAGGAATTCAGCGGCACACCTATGTGCACTTCCATGGCAGACACCATTTTGCCAGACTTCCTCTCCTCTGCAAGAAGTTCGCACAAGAAGTTAAAGGACCTCAGGACAATTAAGTAACATCCATTGACAACATTTCTCTTGCCTACCCACATTCCGTTTCTAATTCAGTATGTAGAATGATGACACTTAATGACACCAGCGTCAAATTTACTCCCTCTGCAGTGTCTTACCTTAGCAAATGAACACTGAACTCAAACTTCTTTTACCCTGCTACACTCTTTGTGTATATACTTTTGTATATTCTTGTGTAAATACTAATTTACAGAAAAAAAGAGAACCGTACACCTTTTTTCTGCTCAGAAATTCACTTGGATTTGTTTGGATTGGAAATGTGAAGAGAATTACTATTTTCAGAAGTATTTTCTGAATCTGTAGCAAAACTTACTTAGGAGCATACTTTCAGGGCAACACAGATTAAAGCAACTACAGATTAGCAGTTTGAATTCATCAAGCAGCAGTGTTTGATCGTACAAACTCGGCGAGTTCATACTTAACATCAGTTGGAATACCAACCTATTCCAGAAGAAAGCACTGCAATCAAAAACATATTAAAGGCCCATTTCTTAAGTGCATACATGCTTGTGTTTTATCTATTAAGCAACTGAACAGACTTTGAGCCTCTGGAATACCATTGAGTTTTCCCTACGCACCTTTTTTAGGCCCAGTGACAGCAAAGAAGTTGAAAAGTTTTTCAGCTTTAAATTACTTGCATTTGCAAGTATTATCTCCTCTCATGCCACTTCAACAGCCTTAGTAGTTGATCAAATAATCCTTAGCCAGTTTTGGTTTTCCATAGACTAAATTGTCAAACACAAGCTTTGTTACGTTGCTGTTTGTTTTCTTTCCCAGGCACTTGTAAATATTTAGCATCTGAAAAAAAAAGTTGTGTTTTTTTTTCTTTTTTTTTTTTTTAGTGAACAGTTGCATTTCATTTTTCCTTACAAACCATTAGCTTTTCTTTTTCGGATGGGAATTAGATGTCAGTGGCTGATCTTCAGCACATGCTCTCTAATAAGAGGCGGTGCAATTAGCAGTAGCCAGTTTATTCTCAGTGTAACGCCTTGATATTTTTTGCATCTAATTCTGGTAACTTGCTAATAATTTTGTTCCTTCATCCTATTTTAAAAAGTAATTTTATTAAACACTGCAGTGGTTTTAAGATATCTGGTCTGATCTTCTGCTGTGATACTTTATGATTACAGAATGCAAACTAATTTCTAAAGACTCTCATCCTCCTAAGTAAGAACATTCGGTTTAGGAAACTGAAAGCTTTAATAATGGAATTCCCTTTCTTACTTACTGATTTAGACTTCACTTCCTTGTTGTTTATTTCACAGCTCATGTACAGTACCTTCTCCTTCTGAATGCTTTTGTTCTGTACAAGCTATACTTACCATCTCTGCTTCTATCGCTGTCCTTCAGGAAGAAGTTCCATGGTAAACTGCTATCCCAAGTCCTGTAATCTTTCACATTTATACACAGCTAGCAGAATCTGACTTCTTGTAGCCACCAAAGTGCTAATGCATTAAAAAAAGCTGGTTTATTTTTTTAATAAGCTAATGTACTTAAGTGCACAATCACAAACGGTGCCAATTTTTGCCACCCACCTAACAGAGAGCCATAACACATTCTGCAAATACATTTATTTATTGACAGGCAGATCTCAAGCTTGTCTGAAACCATCCATCTAGAATTATACATTTCCAAAGCATATCTGTACATCAGTCAGGTACAGTAATAACACAATTAGCAAAATTGTAAGTTAACATCTTGACTTGGCTAGTTATCAAGACTCAGATTTACAGGACAATCCTTGGTATTTACATTCAGTAGGACCTCCAGTCAGAGGGGATGTAGGAAGCCTTATCTCACAAAGCTCCTGTTTGTGAGGACCACACCAGGAGAATGAGATTTACCTAAGCTCTGATTTGAAAGGTGAACAACTATTCGTACCCCAGAGACACCTGAAAATTTTTGTTGCTTTGTAGCACAAATCAGCCAGTCACCATGTGACCAGATCTATTTCTTTATCACACCGAAACTGCTCCTGTTTCCCCCATACTTGCATTTCTTGTATCACTCTACTGAAACTCTCATGACTTGCCCTGTAATACTCAACACAGTTGTCTGTGGAAGTTTTATTTTCACTCCATCTCTTTGCTAATTCGGAATCACATTTCTACAGTATGTAGAAACATTGTACAAAGTAAGGTCGAGGCTCACCTCTGCAAAGCTCTGAAAGAGGTTCATGAGACGTCTTTCTCCAAGCATCAGAACGACATCCTGCTACCATATTCCTACCTTATTACTCTCCTGCTTGAGGACATCAATCCACTTCCACACTGGCACCAGACACTTTCAGACTGGGCTGCAGTTGATAACAGCTCTCCAGCCTTACCGCTAATCCAACAAATCAACCTGCTCTACGATCACAAACTCACTGCACTCATCCTAGATGTCCTGTGGGATTTCCAGAAGGGTCCAAACACTTCTCATCAGGAGCATGCTCCAACCCATAGGAAGGTACACAAAGCTGACCTGGCTCCAGCTCATCCTGGCTAAGGCCCTTACCTCCTGTCCCTCTGGATGAAGGCAGATCAGACAGCAGTTTCTACAAGCTCCCATAGCGACACTGCTTACTTCCATACGTCCTGTGAGGCAACAAGAAAATTGCAGTGATGTTTCAAGACGGGTTACCTGGAACTCCAGCTTGTTGCAAATAGCAAACGTGCTGTTTCACCACGTGGCTTTACCTTTTACTTTCACATGGCTTTTTAATACTCATTTATCGACACATTCAGCCCAGTTTTGTCCAAATCTGAGACAGTCTGGCTCCCACCCATCTAATTACTACCTTCCAAATTAAGAAAAACCAAGCTAATTTGGCAAGTGTTCTTTATTCACAGTCCAAAAGTGAAATGAGAGCAATTTTTAAAAAATATTCTGTTCTCAAAGTCAAGTTGTCAACTGAGCTGATTACTGCCGCTGTACTGATAAGCACAATCCCTTCTTTGTGCTGCAATGGAGCAATTAACCTCAAGACTGCCAGTAAATGCTGGAGCAAGTGCTGAACAGAAAAGTTACTTGCTCGTAGCTACCTGTACCCCAGAACAGGAACTATCCTCATCTTTGCTCTTCTCCACTGCAGTTATGTTTTTGCACTTGCACTTCTGTTCAAAGCAGATAAGCTGCTTAGGTGTCAATGCAGCGTCCTGGGAAACTGAGATGAGGTCCAGAGATCTCTTCAACTATCTTATCAGATAGCACTGAAAAGAAAACAAAGACCACATAAACAAGTCATGGGATGCGCATTCCCAAACAGACAAAAGAATTCAGCTATGCTGCTAAAGCTAAAACCAAAAGAATTGGGAGAAGATTTTGTTAGCATCAATTAGCTCTGAATAAGGGTAACTGATGTGTGAGCAAGCAGACAGGACACACAAATGACCATTTCTACTGGGGTAGCTTCTGACTTTCAACTAGCCATGGGTAGACAGATAAAACAGCCAAGAGGATGTAAGAGGAAATCATAGGGAATTAATCTGTACTAAAGACTAAGTCACACAGAGCATATAGGCAACAGCATGAATGAAGTAGAAGTAGAGCTTCAGCCTATGCTGAGGGGTGGCCTACTTCAAGCCTCTCCTCTTGGGAACAGGAGATCAGAGAATGATCAAAAGCTGGGCACAAAGCAACACTCCATCATAGCTTGAATTTGCTTGGTCACTAAGACAAACCATTAAGCACTTAGTTCTAATTTAAATCACAGGTCATATATACACAGTTTAATTAAAGCATTCCCACATTCAACTTCAGCAAAATAGGTTTTATCAGAAAGTTACACAAATCCAAAAAGTTTTATTTTCCAAAACCATACTTTATTTTGAAAGGCTACTATAAGTATTCAGAACTATATTTCTTAAGCAAAAAGATTCACATTTTATT